CTACTTGGAATACGAAGTTCAGACTTTAGTGCTATAGTACACTTCTGAGCCTTCTACCCAAATGCAAATTCTACCACAGTTTATTAAAGTTATAGAATGTGTATCTGCCTCTTCCACATCTTCACACAATGGAATACTACTCTGCCATAGGAACAGATGAAATACTGCCTTTGCGACAACAGGGCTGGATCTTGAGATTATGATGCTAAGTGAAGTAAGTCAGACAGAAAAAGTTGAGAACCATATGACTTCATTCATTTGTGGGATATAAAGCTGAAAGCAACAAATGAACGAGACAAACAAACAAATGAAAACTCACAGACAACAGTTTAGTGGTTACCAGAGCGTAAGGGGGGGCACAGAAGAGGGTAAAGGGGGTCAAATATATGGTAATGGAAAGAGAACTGACTCTGGGTGGTGAGCACACAATGCAATGTATAGATGATGTATTACAGAACTGTACACTTGAAACTTACATAATTTTACTAACCAATTCCACCCAATTAGTTTAATAAAGATTAAAAAAATGCGTATCTATTAGAAAAAAAAACACATGGAAATCACAAAGCAAACTTCAGATATAACTGAAATTTTTTTTTTGCTTTAGCAAAACATATTTAATAAAAATCAGTTCATTTTTTAGAGAGGCAATAGTGGGGTGGTGGAAAAACGACTTTGGAGTCAGACCAGTCAGGATAATTGATGATTATCATCAATTATTAGCCATATGATCTTCGGTAAGCAATAAGACCCACCCAGGAGGCTCGTTGACAGAACACTTGGAAAGCATCTAGCACAGTAGACGGCAAAAAGAAAGGGTGTATTTAAATGTCAGCTTTAACTATTTATTGTTATAGTTATTGCTGCTCTTATGACTAAAAGTTACTTGCCTGTCTAACCTCTACTTGACCTTCAAGTTTTTAGAATAGACAGTATTTACTGGAAATCCCTTCCTTGACCCTTTTTAGACCAGGGTAGGTGGCCTTGCTGTCTGGTCCCCCTGAGCCCTGGGTCTCCCCCTATCTCAGCCCTTAACACACTACACTGTTGTTGCTTATTTCAACACCTATCTTTCTACACCATACACCATATCTACCTTGATCTACCTTGTCCCTCATCCTGTCCCCAGCAACTAATGGATGTCTGGCTCACAGTATGAATTTAATAAATATTTATTGAATAAATGAATGCATAATGAAGTGAACAAAATTGCTAAAAGTAAAAAAGTCAACATTATAGCTCACAGTGCAACATACAGTATACAAACTATCAAATTTATTAAATCATGGGACCCTTTTTTTTTTTTTAACCAAGAATCTGGAACTACAGAACCCACTTTTGTAAATGTTGAGTTTGACTGACACTGACTCTCTTAAAGGTAAGGAATCTTCCTTATTCAGTTCTAAGTGTGTTTTAGGAAGTACAGTCATGTTGAGAAGTACCCTTGGGGTAGGTTAGTCGAGGACTGAGGGGAAATATTTTTATGTCCATCACAGGCTCCAGCTGAGTTGAAATTCACTTCTTATTGTAGCAGGTAACTTCTGCATCCGAGTCCTCACTTACCAGGGCTTGAGCAGCTACTCTGGAAATACAACTACTGACATTTACCATTTCTAGGAAACTTGCCCTATTTGCACCATGCTTGAAAGGCTTCTCCCTCTTACCTGACCAAATGGTGACTGACTTTCTTAGTTAAGTCCCTGGGGGTCTGCCATATTGCCATTCCTGACCCCTACTCCAAGCTCCCAGGACCTGCTGTTTCCTCTGGCCCTAGCACTATACTTTACAAAGAACTTAACATTATTCCTCAATCTTCATTAAAATTCAAACTAAAGCATGCCTAAAATAAAGCCTTGGGAGATGTTAAGGAAAGTGACAATTTATTGGAGCTCATCAACTTTTAGTATGAATAAAATGTCTCTTATGCAATATGATGATATATAGTCATATGTTCATTTTCTGTAGTTCTGAGTCTTATAAGTTTATTGTAGGACATACTTTATGCTATCTTCTACTAAAAATTAATGTTTAGAGTTTAAAAAAATCAAGAACAGGGCTTAATTAATCTTACTTAATTCGCTGTTCATATTTCAGCAATACAGAAGGGTGTGAGTGAGGAAAAAAAAATGTGTTCACACAGGTTTTTATATCAAGATAGTGAATTTCTCACTTCAGTTGTCACATATTTAATGGGCACCAACACGACACCTTCCAGACCAAAACAGAAAAAGAAACTCTTGCACCACTGGGTAGAAAGGAAACTCTGTTATTATCATCTTAACCATAGTGCCTTATAGCAGATTAAGAACAGGAAATTCAAGTGGAATTCCAACTCTAAAAAGGCAAATGAAATTGCCCTACAACACTTGAATTCTGATAGCATATACCTTGTCAAATTAGATTTCTGAAAAGACTTCTGTGCCAGAAATAAAAAAAACATAAATTTGAGTGAACAAGAACCAATCAGATGATTTTCCAAAAGGAATACAAACAAAGACAAATACAAATGGGAATCATGGATTTCAGTGGAGCAGTCTATGAAAAACAGGAATTAATAGGATTAAAACTGGGATTGTTCTCTTCAGGCTATTGATCCTTTTGTCTTACGAGTATATAGGAAAAGAAAAACAAAGACTAATAAAAATACATAAAATAAAAATGAATTTTAAAAAGTGGGTTGGCTTATATTTCAGTAAGTTTCTTTGATTATGTAAGAGTAGAAAACAATCCGCTACCTTCTGCCTAGTACTTAATCCAGGAAGAAAGATTGTTTTTCAGATATCCTATAATACTATAAACTTCAATTTAGTAAGTGGTCAGGTGACTGCTGTTGTCGCAGGTGGCATATGAATTGGCTCTTAAAGACTGATTCTTTTTCAGAGTATATGATTAAAATTATTGCTCTGTATTTATGAGCAGCTTGGGTCAAAAGAAATTAATTCTCCACACAAACAAGCAATGACCCTAGGAGAACATTTTATTTGCTACAATTTCAATTCTATTATGATTTGTTCCTCTCAAGAACAGCTTTGAAATACAAGCTTATAAAAGTTTAAATAGAGTCAACAATTTCAACATTACTGGGAGAAGAAAAGTTAAAACACATCTAGTCACATTTCTTCAGTCTAAGGTTTAATAAAGAGATGGCTTTCCAGTACATAACGGTTCGCGGTAATGCTTGAGGAATTAATTAGACTGTTCTGCTAACTGCTGACATTTACGTTATCACCAATTGTTCTCACTTCTTACAATCTTACAAACTAAAGCTGTCTATCAATTAAAGCCTATATAGATAAAGGGGCTATTTAAAGAAATATGGTGCTAAACTCCAGTCTTCTTTAAAGTCTCTGACTTTAACTTTGT